AGAGAGCCGTATGATACATGACTATCTCGTGCACTCTGGAGAGGACTCGACTGCCGCTGGCATGTTTTGCTCAGTGGGGAAGTCGCTCTCTATCAAATGTTCAAGGAGCTGAAGGTAGTATCCTATCACGGGGATGTGGACAGCTGCCGCTTGACCACAATCAACGTGGCCAGCCTTGTACGCACGAGGCATAGTAAAAGAGGAGCTGTTGCCCCAAAGAAACCTCGGCAGCGCAGTTTGGAATGGTTCTATCATGATTCCTGTTGCTTGCTAAAGAGGTGAAATTGTTTAATTGTTGGGCTGTCTCAACTCGAATCGACCCATCTGGGTGGAATTGGGGCTGTCGTGGTGGAAATTTAAAACACACACAGTCTGCTAGGATTGCAGGGTTGGTGTGAGAAAAGTCCACCACTTTTCTCTCTGAGGGATGGGTATCGCTAACTCTGGGCGATGTGGCAAGTCCTTTATCCATCATCAGTCAAATGCATCGTGGGCAGACTGTCCGGCTTCAACCTCCTGACGAGTCGGTGAAAGTCCAACAAAACAGTCTGTTCGGCACAGTCATGCTGTTTTCGAGTGTGTAGCAAATATGACACAACACACACTCATGCCACAAATGGAGCATGCATGTTCCCAGAAAAGTAGAAGTGGAACGGTGAAAAAGAGAGTGTTTTTTGGGCTGTGTTCTCTCCTCCATTCTCTAATTGCCTGGGAAACACGACGCCGAGAACAAAAATTTTGCTGGCTTTTTTTTTTGTTTGTTTATTTCCCTGTGGATTTTCCAATCCCCCCTAATGCGCGTGTCCTGACAGCCCTCATTGTGATCTTAAAATGTTTGCCACGCCACATCCCCGCCCCTTCTGCCGCAGCACAGGACATTGGGACTTGATGTTTGTGAGCTGATTCGGTCACTCTTCTTGTCGGACGGATCAGGTACAAGGTATTTGGGAAGGCCCTCAACAGAGTTAAGAACGATGTCAAGGTACGAAATGTCATGCACGGAGTTCAGTGAGTCATTTTGCGCATACTTCAGTCCCTCCCCTCCAACCCCCGGAGCAACCCCCTTCCTTTTTGTTTCTCCGTTTTTTTTTTTTGTTTTTTTTTTTTTTTCCCCTTCGGTTCTCGTGAACCTATCTGGGCTGAAGAACGCACATCAGATTCATTATTCCCACCGGTGGCGTTCTATGTTGTGCCCAGTGCTCTTCTGGTTATCTTCCCAAGTCTGTCTTCTGTTCTTTGAACCGTCCTGTGGTCTGGACCTTGTTTGGTTCTTGGTCTGTTCTTTTGGCTTTGGGACTGATTTTCCTTGTCTGGTTGTTGGCTTTGCGTTGGTCGGGTTCTGGTCCGGTTCTGATCTGGTTCTTGGCCTGTTCTTGGTCTGGTTCTTGATTTTGCGTTGGCCTGGTTCAGGTTCTCGGGGTGGGGTCATTTGTCTGGTTTCTGGCCTGGTTCTTGGTCTGGTTCTTGGTCTGGTTCTTGATTGTGCTTTGGTCTGACTGGTTCTGGTTCTGGTCACTGGTCTGGTTCGGTTCTTGGTGTGCGTGCTTGGTCTGGTTCCTGGCCTGGTCCTTTGTCTGCTTCTTGGCATGGTTCTTGGCCTGTTCGTGAACCAACTCTTTCCTTTTTGGTCTGGTTGGGTTCTTGGTGTGCGTGCTTGGTCTCTCGGTTAATGCGTGCCATCCTTGCGCAGGCAGGGCCCATGCTAATCTTCTCTGTATTGCTCCAATTTTGATGGATGTCTCGAGGGACACACTCTTTCCTTTTTCATTTTGTTCCTTAAAACCTTTTTTCCTCCCAACTCTTTATTCGCTCTCAATTCCAAGAGGAGGTGGCAATTAATTACGAAAATTTATTTCGACCTCAGCCTTGTGCCTGAATGGTATGCATGTTGCTGTCGGTGAACCAACAAATCATGAGTTCAAATTGTGATCAGAAACAAATACAGTAATGTGTCAGGAGCTTACCCACTTGTGTTGCAAAAAGAGCGGGAAAAAAAGGAAACTTCCTTGGCATCGAGCGGAGTAAAAGAAGTGTGAAAACATGAAAGTGATTTGAACCTGTGTAGCATTGTGTTCGCGTCCGGTGACCGAACCGGAACGTTGGCGACCGAACGCGAACGAGCACGGAAACCCTCCGAACGTGAACATACAAATATATATTTTTAAAAAGTCTCAAATTTCAAATTTGTAACCAAACTCGAGTTAAAAATCAAAAACCTAAAAAAAAGGACTTTTTTTTTATCATAAAAAAAAAATGTTCGACCGAACACGTTCGGGAGGCGTTCGGCCGAACACCCGAGAACATGTTTGGGCATTCGGAAAAGCTTCGAACATGTTTCGCGTGCTACACAGATTTGAACTCTGTGCAAGGAAAATGAGCAGAAGCGAGATGACAATAACCAGATCGCACAATCACATTGAAAGCCAGAAAGTATCACAGTATCCAGAAAGCAGCATTGCACCAATATGACACCAATGGAGAATCGTAACACTGAAAACCAATCTCAATGAGAGCTTGCTATCGCCACCACCAACACAAGAGTCCAGGACCTTCTCCCTACTTGGCGCTCGGCGAACAGCCTACTTCCAAGTTCCTACACAGCTACAATCTGCCTACTAATTGACAATGCAACTGTTGACGTCAGCAGCCCCCGAAGTACTTGAAGATGTCGCCCAATGCAGACTATCGCCAATACCAGGTATGTGCCCTCACATCATCATCATCATCATCATCATCATCATCATCATCATCATCATCCTTCTCTCTCTCCCTCTTCTTGCACCCACGTCTTCCCTCTGTACACCCGAAGGCCACCCCTGCGCCTCAGTGTAGTCCAAGCCCATCCAGCTATGGAGGCTGGGCTATGGCGCTGCCCTCAGCAGCGCCCTGCTCCTTGCACGACCACACACGCTAGCACCTTGCCTCTCAGCGCCAGCAGCAGCCTACGAGTGTCCGCTCCAGCAGCGCTGCCGCCAGCATGCAAGTGCTGAATGCCTCTCCAGGCCGCGAGCTCTTTCCTATATGGAAAGGGCCTGCCTGCCTTCAAGGCCTGGCTGGCCTGGGCCTCGGCACAGAAGCTTCCGGTAGGCCCGGGAGGCTGCGCCTCTGTTGCAGCCACTGGGCCTTGTTCCGTTGGGTCTCCCAACTGTCTGTGTATGAGGCTGCGATTCTCTCCCAGGGCCAGCGTTTTCGGAAAAGCCTGGGGGGAAGGCCGTGGAATGTCTTTGCTGCTCAGCCTGTGTTTCCCTCAACCAACTGGCGCGTCACAACTGCCTGGACCCCAAATACGAAATTGACAGCTGAGGGCCTCTCGTGATTTGTTAGGCCCGCCTTCACTTAGGGCGGGCACATTTGCAACAGGGCCCCTTAGGCCTGCCTAGGACCCAGATCCTCGCATTTGAAGTGAATGAGGGGAAATTTTAAATTTCCGGCGGACTGCGGCTTTGTTTCTATTTTTTGGGCAAGGGGGATGCCTCATGGACTGGGTAATTGTTTCAATCAATCTTGAGAAAAAAAAAAAAGAGAGAAAGCTCTTAGTAATTTTATAATTTTTATTACTATATTTGTTTGCAATTTGCTGTTAACCAATTTTATTGCTATAGACCGGACCTGGTTGATGCTCTTTGCATTTACGGATTAGTCAGACCAGAGTTCAACTCCTGTCTGATTGATTGTAATAAGCATGTGAACGTGTCCGGGGGAGAGTAGTTAAAAGAGTACGTACCAAGAAGTATAAATAAGAAAAAGAAGAGAAAGAAGAATGTGTGCAGGTATCCCGCAACACCAAAGCACGGATAATCATCGGATCAATATCTCATCTCTATAAAGCGTGGTTGCATCATCTTGAATGACGATGACGATGATGATGATGATGATGATGATGATCATGATGATGATGATGATGATGAAGGGTTTGAACTTTGAACTTGGAAGTGAAATCCAGGAAATCAAGCGATAGCCGGTTAAGTAAACTGAGTAAAGCTGACGCGTCGTTCCGACGGCTCACCCTGCTGCGTAACGAGGCTGCCGGCGTTGGTTGGCATCGGTCGCTATAGTGGTTGACGTGTATGTGGATGTGTGAATGAACTACAGTAGCTTGTGTACCGACAAGGTGAAGCCAGAAACCGGAAATTCGGTGGGTTTCATGGATGTTTTTCTTCGCATTGGAACATGCAGGTCACTTCGCGGCTTGGCACTCCGATAACCGGTTATGGAGACGAGAGCACAAACCGAGCAGCACGGCAGAGAGTGAGACATAAGGTGTACAAGGACGAGGATGGTGTAGAACACATCCAGGTATGTATGTACCTACGCTACCTATGGGAAACTGAGGAATGGGTTCGATTGCAATCATAACTTATACAGGGACCGAAGACAAAACCAGGCACACTGTGGCATACTGCATAACCACACGGGCCCTGCAGGGCCCGTCCCGGACATTCAGCCTAAAAGCCTAAAACTTAGGGCTTACAGGCCCCGTTCGTTTCAGCCTGGATGGTGAAAAACGAGGGCCTGCAGGCCCTACCCCGTTTCAGCCTATTTCTGGGTCTTTTCAGACCCAGAGTTTTCAGCCTGAAACGGAGGGCCATTTTCAGGCCCTCATTGTTTCGACCTGCCCCTAAGACTCAGGCACGTAAACAGGGATGCGGAACAGGCCAGAAATAGCCTGTTCCTCACGAGTTTGAGCAGGAGCTGCAGCGGCAGCCCCTGCCTCCCTTCGGCAGGCTCAGGAGGCACACCCGTAGTACATAGGAAGTTCCCATGCACTTCACAGGTAGGTAGTGTCAGTAGGCGGTGGTAGTCTTCAGGATTTCGGCCGCAGCACTCAGGAGGAGCGCTGCAGTAGTCTTCAGCGCTAGGCAGTAGGTGTTAGCGCTAGCTGTAGTCTTCGGCGCTGGGCGCCATAGCTGTAGCTGTAGTCTTCAGCGCTGGGCGCTGGTAGGTGGTAGATCGTAGAGTGGGAGAGAGACTGGCGGAGGCCAGTGTTACTTACCTGTGGC